ACTGACTTGGGACAAATGCAGAGCAGTGGACACATGGCACAAGCCAGCAACTAGTGGATTGTAGTAGATGCAGAACAGGATATCTTCAGATTAGAAACCCTTTCAGTTTGAGTTTCAACCTAAATTTATAGTACTAGTACAACTTAAATTTGTAGAACTGATTTGCCCTGTCTCTGGTAACCAAAGGTTTTTATATCTGTAGGTTTTTGAGTCTCTTGAACCAGTATACTTTTCTGGTGATACTCTGAAACCAAGAGAAATGATGCCACTGGACACTGACAAAATAAAAAGGCTGAGCTCTCTCTAATTTACATTTATGCATACATAGAGATGGGACCAGCTTGTTTGCAGCACTGTACAAGTCTCTCAAGCTTTCTATCCCAATCCAACATTCAATTTTCAGGCAATGTATACAATAAGTTTCAGTACTGTTTAACTTTTTGGATGTTGCAAAATGAAAGAAACCCACATATTTATGTTAAACTGAAGTTAAAAATAACTATAATAAAAATCATGGGAAGATTTTTCTTACCCCTGAAAAGTCAGGTAACCTGTTTTTTTGTAAGAAAAGAATAGATTGCAGATCATTTGCCCTTGCTGAGGTGAACTTTTATTACTTCTAAGTATCTACAGTATTAAATGTGTTGGCTGTTTTCTTCTAAAGTGAATACAGTAGGATCAGTTGGCAAAAATTAGTGGTTTCAGGAATATGAAGGAGTCCTCATCTTGGAAATGAATGCATATAGTCAGATAAAGTGTGTTTTAGGGTCACTTATAGTATTTATCATGTCTTGAAAATTAAGACCATAATTTTATTTTTAGTTGTATGTGGTCAATGCTAGCACATTTTTCATACATTGTTTTTGATGCTCAGATTTTGCAGCTTCTGGCATGACTCATTTGAAGTGAGTGCTTTGTGCTTGAAAAGACTGCACTGTAGAAGCATTCAAATGAATCAGGGAAAGGTCCTTCTCAAAAGGTGATTCACCAGGACTGAGTGCTACTCAATAGGAGCCCAAGCCTGCCCCTGTTGGTATCTGTATATTTACATTAGTAGGGTGGAACTAGATCCTAAAGTTAAGCTACTGAAGAGAGTAGCCCTTCAAGAGATATGGTTTCACTACCTTTAAGATTCTTTTTAAGACAAGGAAAGGAAAAAAAGAGTAGATTTGGACTCCTTGTTCTGGTAGCATTTTCTAGCATTTATGTGTCCATCCTTTCTTGAAAATAAAAAAGAATGTATGTCACAGCTTGCTTCAGTTTCAGCTTAGTCCTTCGTAGTTTACATGGTTTCACAACTGAGATGTTTTGCCTTTTTTAGTAATTTGTGAAGCAGCAGTATAAAGAAATGATGGATGTGCTGACATTCACCCCCACATCCCTACATCAATCCAGCAAAGTAGAGGTCATTTTAAAAAAACACCTGTTAAAGCAATAAACATTTAAAAAATAACATGCCAAAGCAAAACATATCAATCAAAGCACAACCTTGTTTAATAATTTTCTGTGCTGGTGGTAACAAGAGGAGACTGTACTTTTGGCAGTGAGGCTCCAGAAGCTCTACTGCACTCCAGGCACTGAGGGAGTAAAGCACAACAGTGTTCTAATTGATAGGTAGGTAACTTGGAGCTGACTTTGAGTACTAATCCTGGGTGATTAAAAAAAAAAAAATAAAACAACAAACACCACCACAACACAAGAAAGAAAACCCAGCAAACCCAAACCCCAACTTCCCACTCTGTGAAATTGCATACTCTAGCTGTTTATGTCAACCATCCTGGCTAAATTTTATAGGGAAAGAGGCTGCACATAAGTTACGTATGAAAAGTTTCATGAAATATAATGAATCAAAGGTAGTGGTGGTGGGGGGTGTCTGTGTGCAAAGGTTTAACACAGTCCTTTTCAATAAAACAGTGTCTCAGCAGGTATTAGAGACAGTTTTGCCTCCTATGTGCCCCTGCAAATGCAAACCTACGGGAGACCTTTGATAAAGTTTTTTTTGAAAGCTAGAGCCCACCTCTGTTTAAGTTTTCTGAAACCAGGGACTTTGAGAATTTGTTCCCCTTTGTTTGACAGTAAGGGATAGGTTATTCTCATAGAACTTGAAACAATTGCAGGAGAGCTAGTTTATCAGACTCTCCAGCTCATAAGGTAGAAGGGATGTTTATAGGACATGATCTATCTTTTCCAAGGCAGATGAATCTTATCCTAAAGCTGCCAATTTCTAGTTTTTGTAGTCTACACAATTAGTTCCACACTATGACACCATGATAATGGCTTGCTGCCCTGAAGAGTGCTGCACTCTTGTGGCTGGGTCACTAATTTTTTGTGTGAACAGGGATAATGAACTCTAAAGAGCAAGTGTTCATTTTTTTCTCAAGTTTGAAATAACTTCATTGAAATCAATAATCTGGTCACTTGTCTGGTAGGGAAATATAATGGATTTTGAGGAACACCGAGAACCCTTAGCACTGAGAAGAGACAGAATTGTTTTGATGAGATTATTTTTAAGTGCAAATGGCTTTACCCACGGTAATAGCAAGCACAGGCATGTTCTGGCTCATCAGAATCATATCTGATTTGTCTCAGAACTGCAGAGTAGGTCAGGTTGGAATGGACCACAGTGGGTCATCTGGTCCAGCCTTTCTGTTCAAGCAGGGTTCTCCTAGAGCACACTGCACAGGATTGCATCCAGATGCTTCTCAAATGTCCCCAGTGAAGGAGACTCCAAAACCTCTCTAGACAATCTGTTTCAGTGTTCAGTCCCCCTTACAGTGAATTTCTTCCTTATGTTCAGGTGGAGCTTTCTGGGCATCAATTTCTTCCCATTTCCTCTTGTCCTGTTTCTTGGCACCACCAAGAAGAGCCTGGATTCATCCTCTTGACACCCACCTTTAGGTATTTATACACATTAAGGAGGTCTCAGTCACTTTTTCTTAAGGCTGCACAGGCCCAGCCTGTGATGCCTCTGTGTAAATTCCTCCATGCAAGCTTAACCTTAATGGGGATGTCCTGTATGTTTGTAAACAGAATGAGGTCACAATTTCAAGTACACAGCTCTGGGTTGGTCATGGAACAGTCATTAAGGACTGTTTTGCTTCAGTGGGCTAGCACAAGATGAACAAGTCTGTTAAAGATTGGTTGAGTACAGCAGTCATACAGAGTGGGTATTTTGAACATGTCTTCTGGTACTGCCCTAAATATCAAGGCTAAGGAGAACTTTAGTTTTCCATCCATTTCAGTGCTAGGGCTGAATGCATTCCCATGGCATTGGGATGAGAGTAGAGTTTGTTCTGTAAATATACTTTAGAATCATAGAATATGAGTTGGAAGGGATGCATGAGGATCACCTTCTTCTTCATTTCTTGTGAGAAGAGTGAAGAAATAAACATTGAAAAAATTAGTTTCAGTGAAGCAGATTAATTGAGACAGGCTAGCTGATTGGAATGTTCTCTAAGGCAGAGTGTAACATGGATATTTAAATATCATTGCCTTTTTCTGAAATACATGTGGGAATATGACTTTACAGATTATAACTTGCATGTGTGGATATATACCCCACATACATATATGCAGACACACACACGCACACACACACGTATTATTGTTGTCTAACTCATTTTTCCATTGTAGACAAGCGCCCAGAGGGAACAAAATATTCCTAGCTTGGAGATTTCTACATCTGCCTGTCAGGCAGCTATCAGACAAAAACAGCATGACTACATAAATCACTGTAAATCAGCACATTTTTCACCAGTACTGAGCTCTCAGCACACAGCCACTTTAGAGTGCACTGCTCCACAGTTTGTTTGCAGACCTCCCATGCCAGCAGCAGGGAAGTCAGACCATTCTATTCAACATCTCACAGTAACCAGATACAAAATAAAGAAATTGCCTTTCCAAGCTGTAGTCTGCAGTAGGCTTTTCCAAGCAAATCAGTAATATCTAGCATCCATCTTCTCTCTTCTGCTTGTTTTTCAGGCCCTTTTGGCCTTCAGTCCTCCAAGGTGAGGTGTTAGTCTCCTGTTTTACAAGCAATCTTGAACGGTATTTTAGATTCTGAAAGTAGTTTCACTTGTTCAAAGGGAAAGTCTGTATATCAGTTATAAGACAAAAAATAAAAAAAAACCTGTTGTGACTGCTTAAATACCTAGTGTCAGTGAAGGGTATATAGGTCCAGTCAAAACTGAAGAAATCTATAAATTGCAGAAAAATTGGTTACAAACCTCTGCTGAACTATCCAAATCCATGGATTTGAATGTCTGTCCCTTTTGTAGCCCACAGACACCAAGCTGGTGTTACAGAAAAGGATGGAAGTTTCTATCCACAGACAGAAAAAGTGGTTTCCTGGTCTTCATTTTTAGTAATAAAACTTATATTAGGGCAAATTAAAAATATGTTTAGCATAGTTATGAGTTATGCTTTATGTGCAGCCTGTTTGTGTTAATGATGTCTCTACAGGATGGCAAATACTAGAGAAAAGCTCGCCCAAATTTATTTTATTTTTTTTTTTAAAAAAAGGGGGAAAACTGTTCTGCCTTGCTCAGATTAATCAAACAGTGGCATCAAACCAAAGACAAAGTCCACAGCTGTGCAGTGTGTTATGAAATGTAGAGTAGAGCATTTCCCATTACTGTTTAAGAGGCTTTGAGCCAGATTCAATAACTAATCTTTACATCTCGGCCTAAGTGTGTCTGTTATTAGCTTTTCTTCCAATGCAGAGAGATGTTGGTGCTCCCCATGGCCAGACTGTAACACTGGTCTTGACTCTTCTGCTTTCTTGGAATCACAGTTTGGCCTGCAGGTGTATCCAGTTGTTGGCTCTCTAGCCAAGCACCGTTTTTCTCACCTTATGCTGTCATCTGCTTAGGAGCAAGGAGAGTTTCTCTGAACTACAGAGGGTGGGGGTCACAGATTTGTGCACCAGAAACACCAATGTGTGCATGTGACTCATCTTCATCTGAAGACCTTTTCTGCCCTTGTGCTGATGTAACTGCAGGATGTCGACCAGAGGGAACGACACTGGATCCCTGCATAAGAGTGAACAGTGTAAGGTAAAGATTGGTGTTACACCACAGCAGTGAGCAGGGTTATACACACATGCTATTTTGATAAATAGCTTAATAGCACAGTAAGGAAACCATCAATTTCCTACTCTTAAGGTACTGGAAAAACTTTCTCATTGACTGCAACACATTGCTTGTGGTTGAAGAAATAAGCATCCTGACTGTCCATACCTCAGATGTGGCACCAGTACCAAAAACAAAGCAGAAAGATAAATCAGAGCAGAAAACAGAGCAAAAAACAGAACAGAAATATTTTCTTCCAGTTTAAGCAAGGTTTCATGTGTTTGCTTCTTCATACTCTGAACTTCAGCAACAGAGAGATGAAAGATCACTGGGACCATCAGTGATACCTTTCATCCAGTATTAAGATTCTTTGAAGTGTGAGACTGTGAAGGAAAACACTGGAATTCCATGATACCAGAAGTATATGACAGTAAATAATATTTCAGAAATGCTTATACCTCTCAAGTGGGTACACATATCTAGTGACTTTAGTGATTAGGTTTTATTAACGAGGTAAACCTAAAATCAAATATTTTTTCTCCTATAGCCCCATTGTTATTCTTTCTTCTCAGAAATGAGAATTTAAAGCAGTGCCTCGTACAGAATAGTAAGCCCCTTGGAAGCTGGGTGTTGTCAATTTTAGTGCTTGGGAAAGGCTGAAATAAATGATACTGAAATGTAAAGGAGAAGATAAGTTACTGCAATTCCAGTTGAGTCGTGCCTCATAATCTGTGGAATAATTTTTAGTTTAAACCAATTTTTTGAAACATGACTAGGCTGGTTTCTGTGTCATTAGGGCAAGAACACCTCTCTGTTAAAAGAGTTTTGCTTTTTAATAGCGTTTAACCATAATTGTCCACTTTCTGCTGGTTGTTCAAAATAATTCTGTCTCAGGTTGGTCAACTATTGTTGGCCTAATTTCAGTCGTTACCAGCATTCAACAGAAATGCTGATTTTTAAGCTTGTCTTTCAGTGAATCACATGTTTGTACAATAACACGTTTGTTAAATGAATTCAAAGACAGAAACAGATGAACCAATACTGAGAGTGAGTCACTTTCTGGTCCGTATTGAGCCATTTTTTTCTCTCTCTAAATGTCCTATTTTAATAAAAAAATTACTACTTTCACAGGAAAGTACAGCTGTAAGATGTGCAACAGTGTGACCCCAGCTTTTCTGTCACTGACTGTGCTTGTTTCTCTTTGAAGAAGTAGCAAATCTTAGGAGAAATTCCATAGCCCTTTCTTGTTTCAGCATTAGTTTTTGATGTGTTTATCAATTCCTTTGTCTGTGTGAGGAAGCAGTACTGACTTTACCATCTTACACTGCTGTAGTAAAGATGACAATGAAGTATTTTCCAAATGTCAGTCACATACTTTCTGTATGTTTTTTTCTAAGTGCATTTGCCAGTCTCTCTTTCATGCTGCCTTTCCTTAAAGTTGATTGCCTTTTTGTCCTTCCTGCTCTTAAATCTCTCAGTTACGCTAGGTTGGTGGAAATTGTTTAAATGTACAACCCAAATTCTCCAGTGAGGTTTGGCTAACCAATAAACTATTCAAGTGGTTTTGTGTCCTGGATACGTCTTCATCCTCTGCTTTTCCAGGTTGCTTGGATGTTCTTGAACCTTTAATTTGCCCTAATCTCCTCTAAGGCTTTGAAATAATAAAATACTTAAACAAAACTCTTTGGATAAATGCCCTTTAAAATACAGCTTTATCTGTGAACTGTTATGCTCTCAGGGGAGCAGATTTTGTTCCTCAAACAATTAAGGGGATTTTCTGTCCACAGTGTTACTCTCAGGCATACTCAACTCCTGCAACAGTTCAAAACAGAGAAAATGAGGAAACTCTGGGGGGAAAATGGTACAGGGGATAGAGTGCTGCTGTGTGTGATTTTCTTCTGGTGCCTGGGTTCAGTGCCTGTATGATTTTCTGTGGGTCATGAAGCCTTCCTATGCTTTTGAAAACTAATTCTCTGCTCAACAGAAGTGTTGGTGAGGATAAATTAAGGGTGGCAAAGTGCCTAGCCATTACAGAGGGGTAGTCTTGTACAAGCAGAAAGGCTGTATTCCTTACTTCTCAAAATAGAAAGAGGGAGATCTCTTGACTTGCCATCACCAAATCCACAGGGGAAGTCAGAGGCAAAGCAGAGGACTGGATCCAATTTTTTTTTTGCTAGGGCCCCCATATGGTCCATTTTTCACTGAGAAATCCTTTTCACAGCCCTAGGTAGGCCTAATCTCAGAGTCCTGCAGATGCCTCTCAGGCAGGGAGGAGAAGCCTGGATAACCTCACGGAGTGCCCACAGTGCAGCTCATCAGGGCTCCCAGGCAAGCCCTGGGGACCAGCATGATTTGGAGGTTGTTCAGAATCATGGATGCCTGTCTTCACTGTCACTCATTGTGCAAGCAAAGGGAGATGTCTTGAGTTTTTCTCCCTTCCCACTCAGCTCACCTAATTATTAATTTCTGTCGGCGGGAAGGATCTGCAAAATAACACCATAATGGGGAGCAAGGAACATCTGTTCTCCACTTCTGGAACTCTGTAGCTAGATTCCTTGGAGAAAGATTTGGGGTTTGTGTGTAATTTGTGAGTAATTTGCTTCTGAAGTTAATTATTCCTAAAAGTGAAAAATTGCTCAAAAATGTTGGGAGAAGGAAGCTTTCATTTTCATCTTAGTGTGCCACTAAAATATAAAAATTCTGGTAAAAGTCCAACCATATGACTATTATTTTAAATTGATATCTTTGAGATAATCTCTCCATTTTCATGCAGACTCTCCAGAAAAGCATCTGTGTTTCCTCATGTTAAATGATAGGAAATGCAAATAGACCACAGTCTTAAGTATGAAGATTATGGAGATTTATAACTCTCTTTATATATTTCTTAGGTGTAATAAAATGCAGGGGAATTGTAGAAAATGTTTTTTTTTTTTTTAATTTTTAATCCCAAATACTATTATTTGTCCACATTTTTTGTTTTCCTTGAATTTTTCCTCCTCCTAATTTCAGTTTCTCATCTGAAGTTCAAAACTTTCTCTACCTGAGTTTTGTAATGATGAGGTAGCACCGATGAAAACAGGGCTTTAGCTGGATGCTGATCTTTTCTTGGGCACCTCATGGTGCTTAGGAGAAGGTTTACATCCTAGTGGCTGTATGCCTTGCTAAATTTTGTGCTCGTTCAGAAGAAGCAGAAGGATAGAGAAATTCATCTAAGCACTTAGTGACTTCACCTCCTCCCTAGTCTCAGCTTTTCAAGAGCTCAGATGATAAAGTAATACCTTTGTTTTTATCTGTCTTCATTTTTGGCTGGCATGTAGTGGCATCAGATCTGATTAGGTTTTCTTTGGCAGCATGTTTCAGGGCGAGAAGCTCCTTCTTTTCACAGTGCCAAGGATGATGCCAAACTCATGAGCCTTGTGGTCTTGGCATTGGAGGGAGGAACAATTAGTTGAGTTCAGTGTAGCTTTGTGTCAAAACTAGAAAGAGGTGCACTGAAATCCACAGCGAGAATATTTATGTAAAT